ATTTCCCCTTTTTTTTCCCGAAATTTTCTTTTTTTTTTTTTCTTTTCATTTTTTTCCCCCCAAATTAGAAAAGGGTTAATTTTTTAATAGGGATCTTTTAAATTTTTTTTAACCCCACCCACCTGTTTTTTTTCCCAAATAAACCCCCGGTGCTTAAAATTTTTTTACCCATTTAAAAAGTGCCAGTTGTGACCATCCCACTCTTTGTTTTGCAGGTGCGCACACCACTTTTTCAATGCCATCCTGAAAAACCCCCCACACTTCAGTGTGCAGGTGCTGTACATTCCACACTTAGTGTGAGGGCTGTACATCCCCATTTCAGTGTGCGGGTGTGTACACCCACCAATTCAGGTGCAGGTGCTGTCATTCCACACTTCAGTGTGCGGGGTGCTGTCACCCACACTTCGTGCGGGTCTGTACATCCCACACTTCAGTGTGCGGTGCGCATCCCACCTTCGGGTGAGGGCTGTACATCCCACACTTCAGTTGAGGTGCGTACATCCCACCTTCAGTGTGCGGGGTGTGTACATCACCACACTTCAGTGTGCAGGTGCTGTACATCCCACATTTCGTGGCAGGTGTGTACACCCACACTTCATGTGAGGTGCTGTACTTCCCACACTTCTGTGAGGTGTTTAAAAAAACATCTCCAAAACTTCGTGGCAGGGTTACATCCCACACTTCAGGGGAGTGGTACTCCCCCCTTCAGTGTGCAGGTGCGTACATCCCACACTTATGTGCAGGGCTTACATCCCACACTTCGTGTGCAGGTGCTGTACATCTCCACACTTCAGTTGCAGGGTTGTACACACCACACTTCAGTGGCAGGTGCGTACATCCCCACCTTCAGGTGCAGGTGGTACATCCCCACTCATGGCAGGTGCTGTAATCTCCACACTTCAGTGTGCGGTGTTGTACTCTCCACACTTCATGTGCGGTGTTGTACATCCCCACACTTCGGGGTGCGGGTGTGACATCACAACTTCAGTGTGCAGGCTGTACACCCACCTTCAGTGGCGGGTGCTTACATCTCCCACTTCAGTGTGCAGGTGCTGTACCCCCCACATTCAGTGTGCGGGTTTTTTTGTACATCCCCACTTCAGGGTGCAGTGCTGTACATCCCACATTTTCATTGTGCAGGGGTCATCACCAACTTCGTGTGCGGTCTGTACATTACCTTCAGTGTGAGGTGTTGTACATCCCCCCCCTTTCATGTGCAGGTGTTGTACATCTCCCCCTTTTCAGGGCAGGTGTTGTACATCACCACACTTCAGTGTGCAGGTGCTGTACATCTCCACACTTCAGTGTGCAGGTGCTGTACATCTCCACACTTCAGTGTGCAGGTGCTGTACATCTCCACACTTCAGTGGGGCAGGTGTGTACACTCCACACTTCTTGGCGGTGGTACTTTTCCCACACTTCAGTGTGCAGGTGCTG